CATGTACTTAAGTACTGTACTGTATGAGGATAATAGGGATGATGGCAGGGTATAAAAAATAATAAAGTAATTAGTCCGTCAGTTAGGTATAGACACGTATTTTTTTATTTTGTTGTATAATAAAATGATCTTTAGATAAAACGAATCAAAGTTTGGGAGTGGGGGTAAAACGTCATTTCTACGTATAAAATATACATAGAAGTGACGTCACGCGACATTTCAAATCAATTTATGTTCGAAACTATTAGTTTCAGTAAAAAATTAAAAATACGTGTCTAACGTTTTTAAATAATCTACCAGACAGACATTAAAATAAAAATTAGTCATCTACCCTATTAAAAATAAAGTACATGTTGATGAATGGGACGACATAACCTTAAAAAAACAAAGAAATGCGAATGGTATATTCACCTCAGAAATCAATTAATCAGTATTAACAACAAAATTGATAAAACATGGATTAAAAAAAATAAGTAGGTACTTACTACTACTTGTGATGATAATAATCATATCAAGGTGATTGATCAAATTAAGGCTTACTGATTTAGGTTCATTAAAAAATGTACACAGGTATATTCATTTCCTACTGTGAGTTACCTTGATTTGATTTTTATAGGCCAACACTGGGAGTCTTTTGGAATAAAATAATCTTGTTGCACTATGAGGGTAGACAGAAAAATTTGTTCATACAAAAGTAGACTTTAAACATTGAAAATTAGGTCTACAATAAAGGCGAATGAGGCCGGTGTTTTTGTGGCTGTTTAGAAGTATAATGTTATCTTACTGTTTAACAAAGGCTTCACTGTTCAGAGGTGGTATGCCATAGTAAATTCTCCCAGTTATGTGTAGAAATTTTTGGAATATTTGGGTATCCCCCTAAAGTAAATGAAAAATATGTATTTACAATAGGTAAAATAAGTAGTTACTATGCCGCGGTGGCTGATCAGATTAAGGTGCGGTTTAGAAAAAAAGTTTAAAAAATTGAATTGAAGAAGCAAGAATACACATCACATCAACAGCCTATAATGCCCACTGCTGAGCAAAGCCTCTTCTCACACGGAGAAGGTTTCAGCATTAATCACCACGCTTGTTCAATGCGAGTTGGCGATTTCAAACTTATAATTAAAATTATAAGCACAGATTTCCTCACGATGTTTTCCTTCACCGTTTGTCAGTGGTATCTCAATAATCTTAGAAAGTACATATAACTCGGAAAAAGTCACATTGGTACTTGTCGTTGGTAGGTTTCGATCCCGCACCCTCATGCATGTGAAGCGGGCGTGTTAAACCTCCGGGCCACCGCGACACAAAGAAGCAATAATAGTTTAATTTTATTGTTTATTATTTTTGTAGTTTGCACCGACTTCATCATGCACCAATTAGTAAGTTTGTAGCTCTTCCATTGTTCGCCACTCATGTTAAATAACGAACAGCAGAAACGTCATCAACCCTGTTCTGTTTTTGATGACATGAATTTGATATTCACTTGCATGTGCCAAGTTCGTCACTGGTGTTGATTATTTTGTTCCTTGTTTTTGTATGAAAGTCATAATTATGCTTATGGTCTTTATATACTATATTTATTCAGATGTCATTTGGCCATATCGCCTGATGGTAAGCGTTAATGTGGTCAATGATGGACCACGTCTATCTATGAGCAACTGTTTACTCGGGACTTTAAGACACCTCGGTCATTTATTCTTTGAGTAAATAAGCAGTCTATAATTTGAAGCTGTCCCACATGTCTTATAGGAATATATGGTATTGGAGGTAGTAACTGAAAATCAGATATTAGACAGTCAGATTTGAAATTTTTTTTTTTGGTTTGCTTTTGATTTCGTAAACATCATAATCATGTTTGCAACAAATAAACTTCAAAAAACTGACTCTTATTTCCACCACAAGGTTTTCATTTACAAAACCAACAATTTTCAATTCGCAAATCTCTTCTGAATACTGTTAATCTAGTTTTTTGTGACTGCACTGAAACTAGAAAGCGGGTGACAATTTAGATCGTTAGACGAGTTATTTTGTAAAGTTCGCTTCCGAAACTGCACTATCAGTTGGCCAAAAGGGTATTTTTATTTTTTACGAGATCATACGGGTTTGAGGTTGTTAGAGTTTCCGAGTATTACCCTGTAGTAACATCTAGGACGCTTTGTCATCCTACCGTACGAGGAACAATTTGATTTAAAAATAGGGACCGGGCGAGGGAAAATTAAATCTCGGTTGTTTTATTTGTTACCGCTTTTGTGATTTTCTGAAAGTGTAGACAAATTGATATTAATGTAGCTCCCATTTTTGGTCGATTATGCTATTAGTCTCATTGTAATAAGAGTGATTGTTCATTGCAATTCTCGAGTACAGTTCTAAGCTCTCTTATATTGTGGAAACTTGACAAACAGAAAACTAAATTGTATGTATGTTTGTTATAAGTAATTTTACTATCTTTTAAAGTGCATTCCAGAGATAAGAATATTTCCGTAAATTTTTGCGTTTGGGTATCAATCAGCATTTAGCATTGGAGCATTCCAATGAAACCTCGATTAAGACTTAGATAAAAGGCAAAAACATTGCGCATCAATTAGTGAGGACTTCTAATTTGTATGCCTTTTGGAAATATTATTGTGTTTTGCCATTAGGATTCAAGTGATCCATCCATCAACAGTCAACGTACGATTGAACATGATAATTGTGACAGCAGATTATACGATTAACTAAATTATCTTGTTTTTGGAGTTGTAGGCATTATCTTGGTATTAGCTGTTCGATTTTGTTCAACGTTGCCCCATACTAGGATTTTCTCCTTTGTCGTGGGTACGGCATACACGTTTACATACACATGACGCCCAGTCTCCTAACAACAATTTGTGGATCCCCGTTCGGGAATCGAACCCGCGACACGTTCTTCGGCAGCCGGTTGCCCAGCCACCACACCAACCGTGCCGTCAAACTGCTGACTTAGTATAGAAATAGGAATGTTCATGTATGCTACGCCTTCTATAAGAGGCCGAAAAGACTATTTTGGTTACTATTGATATGCGTCTATGACTGCCTCGTTGGCCGATTAGTCATAAGTGCGACTGCTGGGCAAGGGGTCCTGGGTTAGGCAAAGTATTATTGTGTTTAAAAAAAAAACCTCAGTAGTAGCAATTGGAAGCAAGTGGTACCTGGAATTGTGGCTGGTATATGACAATAGGCTCATCCCCTATTACATGGGACTCATAACATAAATAACGAAAATTGGGTGTTACATTGTACAGTGGTTATTACACATTAAGTGCTGTAATATACACCTCTGCCTACCTCATCGGGGATAAAAGGCGTAATGTTATATATGTAATGATATAGGTACTAACTATTACTACCTAAATAATTCCCATTGACTATTATGATGTTTTTGAGAACATTTCAAATTTCAAAAAATTCGTCTCGCATCGCAAAGTGGGCGTGGGCGATGAGTCATAGACTTCTAGCTACATGGAATGACATACGTGATAGTAAGTTACGTAGAGGTATACATAGAGAGCAGATCAAAATAAAAACAATCTTTCCTTGACCAGTACTGTATTTGCGATGATATACATAGATATTACCATAATTTAGCATTAATTATACCAAGTTTAAAGGCACAGTTTACAAGTCTAGCTTATAACTAATTATGCAGATCAATTAAGGTCATTGAACCGCGCCATTTCTGACTGGACTAGTTGATAGAAATGCAAATATCAGGCTAGTGTTGCCTTGCATATGAAATTATAATAAGTCTGTATGAAAAAATTATAACAGCTTCCTACATCTTTCGTTTGGGTTTGTCCAGTTAGGATCAATAATGAATTTAATGGATTTGACTACAACAAATATCAATAAATTTACTGACATAACTGTCAATTGAGGTTACTCCATTGGTTATGGGCCCCGGTTGAGTCTTGAAATTAGTCGAGTGAAAATAAAATTTTGATAATAATGTACTGTAAGTAATAATACACTTAATTTTGAAAGAGCTTAGGTTTTTGGAAGCAAATCACTGTCCATACAGACTTGTTATATAATGATATACAGACATTATGTTAAACTTAGAAAGAACATAGAGTTCTTATAGACATAGATTTTAATTAAAAGGTACTTCGACATGTATTTCTTAATTAAATCACTTCAGTTAAATGATTTAACAATATTAATTAATTATGTTAAAGCTTCTTCAAACGACACGGTTTCTATTTAAATCTTATTGTGCGAAATTAGGACTAAGGAGGTACTGAAACGGTAATTTCATTAGACTTTATTATGGTTCTAAGTTATATTTTAGTGTGCGATAAAATAGAAAATTATAATGTTATTTTCTAAATATGTCGTGGTGTCCCGTAGGTTTAAGATAACCCCGCTTCTTCGCAAGGCCCGATGTGACTCCGAGTTATATGTATGTACATACTTTCTAAGATTATTTAGACACCACTGACAAACGATGAAGGAAAACATCGTGAGGAAACCTAGGCTTATAATTTCTAATTATAAGTTTGAAATCGCCAACCCGCATTGAGCAAGTGTGGTGATTAATGCTCAAACCTTCTCCGCGTGAAAAGAGGATGATGATTAATATTATTTTATATATTAATTTAAAACTTAAAATATTTTGCGGAAGATTTATGAATAACAAATTGTTATCCGGGGATTAACCCGCGTTGTCAACGGAAAAGAGTAAGATAAAATTCACGATATGAATGAGATATATAAACAAATTCGCTTAGGCGTTTATATTATACTAGCGACCCGCCCCGGCTTCGCACGGGTGCAATATGCATGTATTATACATACAAACCTTCCTTAAGAATCACTCTATCTATTAAAAAAAACCGCATCAAAATCCGTTGCGTAGTTTTAAAGATCTAAGCATACATACGGACATACAGCAAAAGCGACTTTGTTTTATACTATGTATTGATTAAGAGTTTTTATGTTTTTCAACGTCAAAGTCAAAATCATTTATTTCAATTAAACTACGAAGGTACTTTTGAACGTCAAAAAAAATTAAAACTGAAGCTATTTGCTCATTCCAATGTGTAGATTCATATGAAGATGGACGAGCAAGAAAATCCTTACTTTCATTTTAATCAGGTTCACAATTTATATAATTCTTTAGTTACATAGTTTCATTATTTTATTTTTATTAACGATCTCATTAAAAATTATTCATATTTTAGACAACAAAAATGTTTTTTTACATATTGCACCATAGCAAAGGAAGACGTGGCAAAATGTGATTGAGTTAGTTATCGAAGGGGAGTGAGTAGAAATTCTCATTATTGGAATGGTAATGATTTATAACACCATCATTAAAGTTGATATTGCAATGACTTTGATGACGATACAAATTACATTTCCAGATAACATCCACGGTGTGAAAGTGGATTAAAAATAGTAAATTCTTACTTCAGTACATATACATAAATAAATATGTTATGTAATTTAAAAGGAACTATATGACCACTGCATATGAATGATTTTTGAATATCTTACTCGTATAATTAGCAAAGGCGAAACCCGGAAACTTTAATTCTCGATAATTTAACCGACAGAATAAAATATTGACATTCACTTATGTTTTTATTCGAAACGAGTTTACAAAACATATGTATAAAAACTTGTTTTAAATGTAAAAGTTAAAATAAAAGTAAAACTGCCTTCACCATAATTTGTAGGTAAAATACCAGTACGACAGCGTGTAGGTAGATTAGACGAAAATGCGACAATCAGATTCTGAATTAACGCAATTACACAATTTATAATTCGTGTGGCTAACAAAAAACATCTGTTCTTTAACCGACTTAAAAAAAAGAGGTTATGTGTTTGACTTGTAGGTATATAGGTAGGTCGGTTTATGCACGATTATCTCGAACCGATTTTGATGCAGTTTTTACTATTAGGAGAAAGTTTTAGTATACAAATAAACCTACTTCAAAAAAGACGATTTTGAAGTCGGGTTTTTTAAATGTAGTTTATAGTAGAATTATTTAACGGACTCTATCGAATATTGAAACATTTACATAGCATTGTATAACTATTCGATTGCAATACTACAATCAATAGCACACTAGAACAAACACAAAATTATTGTTACAAAATAAGTTCATCATCAGCATCACATTAGCCTAAAGAGTCTAATGCTAAGCGTAGGCCTTCTCCAATGAATTCTAGATCTATCAGTTGGAAGCAATTCCACATTCAGCGACTCCCTGTACCTTTTTCAGGTCGTCTGACCACTTCGTCCTCCTTGGGTGAAGCGAGTGTCAGACTCTTCCTGACTAAAAACCATCACGTTCCTATTCTTGCTTTAAACAACGTTAAGTTGTCTACAGCTCTGGATAGGGCATCAGCCCTGATTGGCTTATTTGTTGTAGTCTGATGGCTCGTTGAGGCGCGGGAACACTGCGCAAAATTCTAGACCTTTTTTGCCACATCGACCGTTGTTAAACAACTATACATTATAATTACACTAGTTTTCCGCTCCCGGTTTCTCATGCGTGGTATTTCATGTATAAACCTTCTTGCATCACTCTTCTTATTACAAAACTACATCAAAATTCATTGCGTAATTTTAAAGATCTAAGCATTATGAACATAGGGAGTGAAAGCGAACAGTTACTTTTTCTTCTATATATAGCTATGAACACATACATACATATATAATTATATAGGCCAGATACATATGTATAAAAATTGAAGTACATAGTCAAGTGTCGTTGACTTCACATAAAATTACTAGTTAAAGATTATTTAGGCACATAACAGGTTTTAACTGTGGCTGGTTAGGTATGCAATACGTGTATACGCTTGTATTTTCCTTGTTTTTAAGGTCATCGACGCAGATTGGCGTCCAAGATACTAAACTGAGTCCCATATACAATATGACTGCAATACAAATGTTGGCAAAATACCTGTATATCATGTTATGTCGACGAAAATACAGGTAGGTAAGTAAAAAATCGTATTTGCGGACATAAAATATCTATTACACATATTAAATAAATGTATTTATTTAATAATTTATGTATATATAAAATAAGAGTACAAATGTGCTACATATTCCTGTTAGAATTTCTTCCAGTAGACCTGAGACAGGAAATGTAATTGAAACATAAGACACAGTGTGTAACAGAAAAGAAAAAAATACGATAAGAAATATGCATAAAAAAATGTAATGTAATGTAGATTCATTATTCATTAGTAAGTCTACACTTTAGTGATCTGTGAAGTAAATGCGTAATATGTATTACAGTCTTTTAGTTCATAAGATATTTGTTTTTGCTTTCTTACTGAGATATTTAACAAAAATCAATTGTTTGCCCATTTTTATTGCATTTACTCGTATCTTATTACTATTTTGTATACCTCAAAATTACTCAGAAGTTGCCTAAAATGAGGTTTGGGATACGTTTATTCCCATAAGAATTAAATGTAAGTCTTAATTTACTTGAATTTACTGCAATGCAAGACTTGACCAAGACCTTTGATCTTTCCTCCCTAGTATCTTTTTTGTTCAATTGTCCCCAAGAGAAACTGGACTGGTACGTCAATGGTTTTGCCATTTAATTATCATTAGAATTCCAACGACATTATTTCCTACGGGAAATCTAATTAACACTCTATTTTATTAGAAATCATCAATAACCAATTAAGGACAAATAGCCACTTTCACGCTAAATGAACAGAAGAAATAACGTTGATAAGGCAAAAATTATTTCGCACAATTGATTTAAATAGAAACTCTACTAAGTTGGATGAAGATTAATAAATTATGTTATAATATAACTGTAATTTACATAAACCAGGCTATCCACTGCAAGAGTATTTAAATGACTATAAATTATTATCTAATCTATACAAAATCGTCCTTAAAACTAAACGTACTAAATAATTTTACACTTTGAGATAAATACTGATAATAAATTATTTATTTATACATTTGTAATAAATAGTTTTTGCCTAGACACGAGGTATTGAAAGCAATGTAATGAACCCGTTAAGTCAAACCTCGTTAAGTCTTTCAAAACTTTATAGAAACTACTGGTAATTATTTTGTTTGACCTTGGGTATTGTGATGTCCGAATATTATCAGTCACCGATACATCGATAGTTTATACTTTGTTTGTACAATGTATGGGCGAATACGCCATTCAAAACCAACAGCAGCCACTACATGTTTATGTAGATATACATATGTAGGTAGCAGCTATATACTGGGTAACATATGAATACAAAACTTACGTCCAATACTTCGTATCTAGCTTTAGATGATCAGCTTTTGATACTTCTATAGTATCTATTTGTTAAATACCACACTTATCATTTATTCGTATTTCTTCAAAAACACTTTTTTGTAGAACAGAACTGAAAAGAAACTTCCGATAAGTGGTCCAACCCAGTATACCCAATGTCTAATCCACCTGCCAGTCCAAACAGCTGGTCCGAGAGTCCTCGCAGGGTTCATGCTTGCCCCAGTCAGTGGTCCTCCCACGAGACCAAGTCCAACAATTGTTAATCCGAACTTTATCGGGGCGCTGTCTTGTTTATTCGCATGTGCTGGATCCCACAGACCACAGTTAATCAAAATAAGTGCTGCGGTTAACGCTGCTTCAACTCCCACCGCTTGCAGGTCGGTTAAACCGGAGAATGGCATTGTCACACACACGCTATCAACTTCCAAGTCAAAAGGAGATAGTGCTACTAAGATCCCATAGCCAAGTACTGCACCCGCACACTGGGCTAGTACATACAAAATAGCAATAGGTATGGACTTACTTCCCCAGATTACTGTTGCTAAAGTCACCGCCGGGTTCATGTATGCTCCAGAAATGTGTCCGAAGATTTGAATGTTGAACAAGACTACGAAACCAAATCCGAAGGGTGGGTATATGGTTAAGTTAATTCCTTCCATGGGCAAACAAGTCATGCAGCCAAATAGTACGAGCATCATCGTGGATATAAATTCTGACAGGATTCCTCTCCAGGAATCCACCCACCATACGTAAACGGAACATTTTTTGGGCTGCTGGTCATCCTGTGTCATCTTCAGTTCCGTGAGTATTTGGGGAATCGATGGCACCGTCATATTAAGTGAGCACTAAAATCCGTATTCACAAAAAAGAACAATATTAGAGGGCCGCTTCGCACGTCACAATAAAATTGTCAACTTCCTCAACTGTGACCACGCATTGTTTTTATTTCACGCGGGTCAATATTCACTGTCACTGCGGTGTTTATTCGACGGTGGACGCGACTGTAGTGCGTTAGACGCGAGGTAAAAATATATACATATCTCTGGGCGTACAGTCACACGGATAAAATGATATTAATGCAGATAGAGCGACCGTTATCTTTTGTTTTCAGCCCTACAATAAAACACCCGATTATTATTTATTATCAACACGTTTGTGAGTTTAATAGCTGTGAATTCTGGAATCCGGATTATCGTGAATGGATATCGATATTGATTTCGTGCACATTATTTTTTGTTTGCTCAGTCCTTTTTGGTTTATTTTATACTGATTAAACTTTGTTTTTCTGTTTATCTACAAGTTACTTATCTTATACGCATGATTTTATTCCATTTTAACGCATTACTTTGTAAAAAAGTAACTAGGTTAGTTGAAACAGACAACCTTACCATACTTACCTCAACGACGCGACTCGTTACCGATCAACAAACTTAATAAGGGAGTTTAAAATTGTAAACCGGTTTTACCGTAGTTTTGACTTAAGTTATTGAATCCAAAAGTACGATTATACGATATGCCTAATGGAACAAGCGCCTAGCCTGCAATTGACAGACAGACGGATGGACAATTCAATTTTTGACGCAATTTTAAAAAGTGCCTTATTGAGGATTAATTGAAATAAATCCTTTGACTTTGACTTTGAAAAACAAATGCTTCAACAAAACCAGAACCTAGAATATTCTAGACATGTCAGAGTTATATTAAGACCCGTAACAAATATATTATCCAGTTGTTTTACCTATTGTTTTTTTGTTTAAACCTACCATAACTAGTTGTTTACATAACTCTCCATTTGCGTGTTTATCATTCTAGTCATCTTATAGTAAAGCATATTATCAGGTAGACAAATTACATGTGTTATATACTTACATTATACGAAGATAGTTTATATGATACTAGTAATGCACTGGTATATTGCTCACACCTTTGTAACATTCTAGTGTGGGGTAACGTTTATTTTAATATCGTGTTCAAACCATTCGAAATTTTAACTATAACGTTAGTTGGTACTCTTTAAAAAAGTTTTTTTTTTAAGTTGCCGCAACTTTTGAAATTCATTGCCATATTCTGTATTTCCAGAAGGGTAAAACCTGGGTGTCAGTGATTTATTTTGGCCATGGGTTGACGTGCTCCATCGTAGATCGCATAATCGCTTACCACCTGGCAAGATAGTAGTCAAACGTCGGCCCATCAAATATATAAAAAAAAACTATTTGAATTTTGAAAAAATATATAAAAAAATACATGATACCCAGACCAGAAACAATAATTTGTGGATCACACAAACAGGTGGCGGTTTGCACGTGTTATTTATTATTTAAAATTTCTTAAAATAGTAAACCAGAATCGGCTTGATTAATTGATATAAAACCAGTTTATTTTCGGTATATTCTCCGCTATACTTGCAGCTAGACCATTTAGCAACACCTAATTTCGTCTTACACTAACACAAATACAAGGTAAAATAAATATTAAATTGCCATTTAGTGTTTTGCGTGAAACTATGACGTCATAAGTTGCATCATTATACAATTGTCACAAGTTATTTATATACATATATACTAGCGGACCCGACAGACGTTGTCCTGCATATCCACTTGAATGTATAAACAAAAATTCATTCAACTAAGTTCAGCCGTTTAGGATAACTAACCTAGATACCGACTGCAGCGCCATCTGCCGGGCTGATTTGTGAATCTAAACCATTCCCCAGATCCCCTTGAACACACACAAAAAATTTCATCAAAATCGGTCTAGTCGTTTGAGAGAAGTTCAGTGACATACACACTCACAGAAGAATTATATATATAAAGATTAAAGTGAATACGACAATAATTATGTTCAGCCAGAGGGCAATAATAATAAGATATTAGACCTTATTTAGGTAATTCTATACCAGAATTTCTAAAACGACATCGTCCATTTCGTCGATTAAAACCGAAGCTTAGACTCTGGGATTAATAGGCGCAGTTATTACTACTCAACCAGCATGATTGAATTATTTACTACGTCTAAACAAAACAATGCTATCAAGCCCTATATCTATAAAATTGTCTGAAACCATTTATGACGAATGCAAGACGTAGTATCAGTTGTAGCTCATAATCTGATATGCAGAGTGACTGTGCCTCACCCAGTACAAATTCCTGGCTAAGCTGAAGATATCTACTATCTTACTTATTGAATGGATAATCTTATTATGACACTGTCACTTGTAAAGCTAAGCACTTGATGAACGCATCAAAACATGTACTATATGCATTAAGTTATTATTTCGTCAGATAATATTTCGTCTATGATGTGAATGAAGATATGTATGAAATGTGGGAGAGTCATGCTTCAGCACGAATGGCCGGGTCGACTGGACCGATACCACGGCCTCACAAAAATGCGACTTGAAACAATACTTGTGTTGCGTTTCGTCGTGGGAGTGAGGTTCCCGTAGGTTCAATTAACCCCTCCTCATTCTCCCTAATCCCCGAATCCCCAATAATCCTCCAATTCCTAATCCCCTAAAGGCCGGTAACGCACTTGTAACACCTCTGATGTTCGGGTGTCCATGAGCGACGCCGATTGCTAACCATCAGGTGATCCGTGCGTTGGTTTACCGGCTTATGCCATAAAAAATGATTGGTTTATCAGTACCTATAAGGTCTTTAAAACAGTAACAATTTTAATTAAAGACTTCTTATGTCTTGTTGGAAGAGTTCTGACTAAGTTAGGTACCTATAAAGCACTATAGGTTATCTGATCAGTAGTAGCACAGAGTTTAGAATTATACCTGGTGTAGGTAAGTACCTATGGCCACAGGTTCGCGGCCTACTACACGCGACGTACATGAAAAAGCGGTTGTTACATAATGTAATGTACACTTCTGCATCTTCTTTAGGAAATAAAAGGGGTAATAGTGACATATTATAACTAGTATTAGTATACAAATAACTCTCTGATTATACAAAGAACATTATTTAATAGATACAATACTATATACATTCCTGTACTAAAACAATAACACAATAGAATACCTAATAACATTAAAAAATTCTTATAATAATTATCCATGTAGGTACGTATTAAAAGAAAGACCTAGGACTAGATTGAAGGTGATCTAGCGCGCTATCTCTTGGTAAGTATGTACTTATAAATGAAGGCGGCTGCACCACTGCCGGTCAGTGGTCCAGCCCAGTAGACCCAGTGTTGTGCCCACTGCCCAGTCCACACCGCCGGACCCAAGGACCGTGCAGGGTTCATGCTCGCCCCAGTCATTGGCCCCGCTGCGAGTATAAGCCCTAGAATCGTAAAGCCAAACTTTATCGAAGTACTGTCCGTATTATGCACATTTACTGGATCCCAGACACTCATACAAACAAATGAAAGAGTTCCAGTAATAGCTATTTCGATCACAAACGTTTGGTACCAGTCCATTTCTGGGAGAGGCTTCGTAACACACATTTCTGTACCAATTATGTCGACCTCCGTTACCAGGTCTAGGATCCCATAGCCGACGATCGCCCCAGCACATTCAGCTAACGTATATGCAATCCCTAAAGCGAAGGATGTGTTGCCTCGAATGACAGATGCGAGTACCACAACCGGGTTCATGAATGCACCTGATATGTGGCCAAATATCTGTACGTTCATCGCAACTAGACAACCAAATCCGAAAGGCGCGTAAATGCTTGTGTCGATGCCTTTGATGGGTAAACATGTCATGCAGCCAAGCATTATAAGAATGAGTGTGGCAACAAACTCTGATATTACACCTCGCCATTTAGCGCAGCATGATAGTCTATCTCGTTCCTGGTCCATATCTTTATAGTTCATTTGATTATCATGTCGAAGCCATATGCAACACCACTTTCAATTTCATCCTCTTTTACTTGATGTAAGCTTTTTTCTTCACCTGAAATATAAATAGTTTAACTCGTCGAGTACCGGTTTTGTAGACACAATTATAGAACAATAGGTTGCGGTCACCGGTGACCGCTTGGTGTTTGACAGTTTAATAAAAATAAATTACAGTTCGTTAGTCTCGCTAAAAGTCGAGAAGTGCTGAACCAATTTGGCTAACTTTGATCTTTTGGAAGTTCATTGAAGTCCAGGGAAGGCTTAAAAGGTGGAGAAATCAGTCAGGTAAAAAACAGAGTTTGAGGCGGTACGAAATTTGTCCGGTCAGCTAGTGTACAATATAATATTATTTATTAAGTACTTTTTGCTGTACGTGATATTGTAAAGTTGTTCAAATATTTGAAAGTCAAAACACAAGAAAACCTAAAAATATTCCGTTTTCTTAAGATGAAGGCATTCAATCGAGATATATGAGTATTTTGCATGTCACCGTCGAAGCTTCCGTAAGACCCACTTAAGATTTTATCTTAAGTGATGCACATACAAAATATGGGAGGAAAACATAATACTTATACTTTTGTTTAACATACGTTATTTGTTGTTATGGCGTTTGCTTTATTTATGAGTACAGCTTTTCCCGAAGGACCTGGAAGTGATAAAAATATGCCAGAAGTATATTTGCTATATTAATGACCAAAGGTTAAGCTTATGATGTTACTTTACGACTTTTTATATGATTGCGTCTTCAGTGTTGTGGTTGGAAGTTTTTCTTTTGAGTTCTAAATATCTAGTTCGATAAAGTTGGCGAAATAATAAATATCATAGTTAAGTTTCTTTACTTTAAAATTTTTAAGGAATATATTTATTTTATTTATTTTAAAGCTTCATGTACATAAGGTGGACTTAATGCCGCAGGCATTTTCTCCCAGTCTGACCTTTAATATAGTTTGACTTATTTTTTTTTTATTTGATGGGCCGACGGATGACCACTACCTCGTCTGGTGGTAAGCGATTATGCTGTCTACAATGGAGCACGTCGACTGACTGACATTAGTTTCGCTGTTATAATGAAAACAATTACAATATAGCTACGAAAAATAGCATATACGGTAAACTTTCGTAGTCAAAACTACAATGAATATTAAAACAACTCGACCAAGTGAACGTGGCCCTAAGTCAGTTTCCTAAATTAATTTAAGGTCAAACCAACTTACCTTGCTTAACAAATTAACAAATAACTTCTCTATTCAAGATTAATTCCTCAGATCGTATTATCAACGAGTAATAACCGAGGTAAACTAGAAACGAAAGTAATATCGAAACTTGAAGACGATAGCCGCTACTTATACAGAGTGGTTGCCATGGGAACCTATCAGAAATATACACAAACTCAAACTCAAACTCTTTATTTGCAACGATTCTATTAGCTCCATCTTCAAGATAGCTCCAATAATCGGTACTTAGAAATCAGAAAACTTACCGATAACCACTGATAAGTTTCGAGTAGTATTTTATTAGTGTCTTCGCTTATTATTATACTTATTTTAGTAAAAACATTTCAAACGTCTCGTTTATGATAGATCGGCCTTTCTGAAAGCTGTCACGATATTTTTTTTAAAAGTCATAAGAATAAAGATTTTATTTTTTTAAAAAAGATTGAAGCATAAAGTTTCTTCTTCCGACCATATGTAGTCCTATAGTAATTTTTTTTAGAGGGGATAATCATCGAATGACTTCTCCCGCCTGGGTTAGGCGGGAGGGAGTGTCAGACTCTTACTGACTAAACACCACCCCGTTCCTTCTCCTGCACGTCGAACCGGAGCCTTGGTTACCCGTTAAGTTCTCCGTGGCGTCCTAAAGTAATTTAAGGTTGTATTTAGTTACAAAATAATAACTACTATGCCTAGCGAGGTTATCAAACTGTGAATGAAAGGAGAAAAGAACGTTCTTTCAAAGACCAACTGCAACTCATCTTGAACACCTCGAATCTTTGAGATCAATGATGATTAGATCTATGATCCATCTGCTGCTATCTATGCCACAAAAAATCTTTAGGTCCACTTTTTGTCAGCATTTTTAGTGTTCTCATGACAATAGAGGCAAAGTCTATCGCTTAATTAAACGGCAGGCTCAACTCCAGACTCGAAAGTTGACCACTCATCCCTAATTGTGTAGGTACAAAGTTTGGGGTCGTAATCCAATATTAGTGAGAAATTCCTATTCTTAAAACCTACATAAATATACCTAATAAAAACCTTTATTGTATTGATTACAATACAATAAAGGATAGGTGTGTATTAACACACCTATCCTGAAAATCATTGGCATTTTGTTTTAGGTACTGTTAGAAACCTTTTAAACTCAAAATGGATAATTTGTTTTTTTTATGGAATAAACCGGTAAACCAGCATACGGATCGGAGTCGATTGCTCACCTGATGGTAAGCAACCGGCGTCACCCATGGATACCCGAAACACCAGAGGAATTAGGTATTACAAATGTGTTACCGGCCTTTTGGGGATTAGGAAATTAGAGGATTGGAGATTCGGGGATTGGAAATATTGGGTAGATCTTGTTTATATGTTCTGTGGGGTAGGTGGTAACTGGGCCTCAGATAACCTCACTCACACGACGAAATACAATGCAAGTTTTGTTTTACATCGTGTCCTTCGATCGAGCCAGCCCATTCGTGCCGAAGCATGGCTCTCTCACATAACGCATAATTTGCCTCACTTAATTTGGTTAATAGTGAAAGTAATAACTTTCTTTTTCCTAAAACATAATTATGTAGTTTAACGTATCAGTTCTAGAATATAATTTCGATTAGCATATTACATAAGAGTTGCTATTAGATTACCTAAATTTATGTAAAATAAAATGAGTCACCCAAAATGTTTGTATGCGCATTATTTGCGGAAGTAAAAACATCGTTTAGTATGTAGTCGACATACTAAACGATGTTTTTACTTCCTAAAGTCTCGATTACATAGTTATATAAGATTTTTTAATCTAAGGCCGATCGCAAGGAGAATATATGAATATATATACATAGTAACCTATGGAGTATCTTGCTCGTTTTTCTCCATAGGATTTAATTTTTTTTTGTTGTTGACGTTCAAAAGTGCCTTCCTGGTCTAATTGAAATAAATGATTTTGACTTTGACTTTGAACAAATTTTTATAAACATTAATTCCTACGAATTTATCTTTTGCACTATGCTTTTATATCACAATGGGAATCAATATAACGAAAAATAAATAAGCTAATGTAAACAAATAAAACGGACCCGCGGTCAATGTATTCTTGGCTACTTAAAAATATTACTGTATCAAGTATACCGAACATGTAACTTAACCTAACTTCGGGCAAATAATTCCCGGGAAGGACAGTGTCCCGAGTTGGGCATCTTCTACAAACGCGACCGTAATACATATTTATTAGGTGAGATGGGAGCAAAGCTCGTGGAAATCATAAAATATAAACAGTAAAACACACACGACCTACCGATCACGTACGGACATGCGAGTTTTCTTTCTACAAGTTTTCCATACATAGTTATTTTGGAAGTAAGATGCAATTTCTAGTATGTAATTATGCTTATCAGTTCGCAAATTTTGTCGATGATTCAACAACATGACAACAGATTAAAGTACCTACACCGAATAAACCTATCTATTCTCTTTTCCATGAAATTTAATTTAGATTATTTATAGTTCGTCTGTCGATTTCCGCGAAACCTTTATTTTCAATTCCTTGTAACTCTAACCGAAGCTCATCTAGTTACAAACGTTATTTATTGTGTTTGTATCTTTTATATATATAAATAAATTAATGAACGTGACATTCTATCTGTAGCTACATAAAGTAGGTGATTGCGTGGAGATTAACTTGTCAGCTACCATCCCTAGAGGTCGGCGATAAATCGTGTGTTAAAAATCTGGCCGTAAGGAGCAAAAACGCGCGCAACTCTAATCCGCGCCATTTACTATAATCCGTGCTGGGGAAAGTGGCGGCCTGATTAATTGCAACCACCACCGCACCACGCGAGGCTTACACCTCTATTAAGCACTCCAACAAATTGAACCGCTAATTTCGGAGATGAAATCGTAAAAAGGTTCATTGTCCCGATAATGTACTTTTTTATATCGACGGCGCCGAGTGTTGCCTCCATGTGGTGAGGACTTTACATAGGTAGTTAATGGACTTTGTTTTCCTTATGTAACTTGGGTAAGATTAAGTGTCGCCATCTTAATGTAATATCTGTAAAAGGTAAGTAATGTAATGGCGTTTTAACCGACCACGTCTTAAGATAATTCCTTGCTACAAAATGTGCAAGATGTTCACGATTTTACTCTTAGCTTAAGTCTAAGAAATATTTCTTCTACCATAATATAAAATAATGGAATATAAGGTACTGGGATATTCATTTAATAAAGCACAATAGACACACACATTAAGGTTCGTGACTACAACTTCGACGTAGTCGTAATCATAGCTTGAAATTCCGTTTAACCATGTCATATACTCGTAGGCACGCGAAAAATTCCACAGTTCACATTTTGTGGGAGGTCGAGGCTTAATGCCGACATAATAGGCGCACAAAACAAAGACGGGTACGAACACTGCAAGGAATTCCCTCCACGTTTCGCGACATACGATGAAATCCGCGACTAGACGGCTTTGAGCTATATTCTGCTATATTCCGCTCAGTTGGGCCGAACTCAAACCTTATCACGGCCTTAGAGGCTTATCCTTTGTTTGTTCATTCTTAACTACTATGGTTATTTTATTCAGATGACGACCTAATTTTTTCTTGCTTTTATTCTTGATGCATCGTCCTGATGAGTTTGCAGGATGTAGTCGTTAGTAAAGTTTTAGCTATGAAGTAATTTTCATCATCGTAATCGTGAAATTACTGGCAGTTATTTCTCTCTATCCTCTTTACATACGTGGTGGTACTAGGTCAGGTTTTTTTAATGGGGGAAAATCATCGAATGACTGCTCCCACCACCCAGGTGGGAAGGGAGTGTCAGAGTCTTACTGACTAAAAACCACCCAGTTCCTTCTCCTGCACGTCGAGCCGGAGCCCTGGTAATCCGTTAGGTTCTCCGCGACTCCGAATCCGGCTAGTTCTGAATGTAATACGCTGTTCAAAATGAACATTCATGCTAGGTATGGTAGTACTTTTTGATTCAAATTAAAAGGATTTTTTTAGTGTCTTTCAGATATATTCATAAACCTTTGCTTAATAGTTCTGTCAGAAAGTACACACTTTAAGCTTATTCATAAGATAAATACCATTTATAGAGCAATAACATTTTGTTTGAAGTATAACAAAACATTTTGGAATAGAATGTTGAGAAAAAAATAAAGGGTACCGACAAGTTTCTAAAGTAGTTATTTAAACTCATTATTCGTTTATCGACTAAAATTAGAAATGTTGTAATGTACCAATTTAAGTCTTTAGGCCTTATTAGATTAAATTTAATCAAATTAGATCGATATTCCATTGATAAGGATCGAATGTTAATTAATATCTTTTGTTATATACCTAAAGATTACGCTAGTGTTGTTGTCAAGTAAATATGATTGGCATAAACATATAACAATATGATGTTTTTATACAGAAAGAAAAAGTAATTACGGTCAAAGGTCAAAAGTCCACCGCCACCATAAGACTACTATCGGTTGCGTTGCAGCGTTTATACACACATACACACGTATATTTTTATACGTGTGCATACGCGTGCGTGTGTTTATGCGTACGCACGCGTTTTTATGCACATTAATGAGAAATTACTTACGCATTGCCGTGTGAATATCATTCACGGTGGCAGTGGACTTTTGACCTTTGACTGAACATCGCATTGGCCATCTGTAATAGTTTTTGTATAGCAGATACAAATATAGGTAATTTGTACTACTGAATTGTTCTTTCTATATTTGTTTCTCTTCTTCCTCCAAAATCTTAGGCAAATTTTACTTCCAGAACTAAATGGAAACGACCAAAAATCTAACAGAAACAAGTTTGTCAAGAGATAACTGAGTAAAATTCAGCTACAAGAAAGGCAAGTTTAATGCAAAACGGGCAGGCCACAATATTTTGTGGAACCTTGTTATTCTGAAATTAGATTACAGTGTGGGAGACTGCTGACGAAAATATACTGACCTCGTTGGGTCGCATTTATTTTAAGTTACAACGATAAATATACGTGCAAGTACATAGGTACATAATGTTGCTATTTCGAATCGTCAATAGGAAATGCCTATTAACTCAATTAACTTAATGTTTATCTTACTTCCACTGTTACACTTTTATCTTCTTTTTTATACCTGTATTTTATTTATTCTGCATCGTGCCTGGCGCTGAATAAATGTGTTTTTCTTTCTTTCTTCATTCTCATTGTAATTAGAAAATATCACAAAATTCTTGAATTCACAACACAATGAAAACACAAAATTCTACTATGAAAAAATGGTGTCTTTCCTCAGTCCAATGTAAAATATCTAATTAGGTATACCGTTATAAACTATACATAATTATATGTATTTACCTACTTACTTTTTATGGTTCTATA